CAAGAAACGACCTATGAGTCCTCCGATGTTGGAGACGATGCGCGCCAGGTGTCCCTCGGTACCTGAGAAGGAGTTCTACCGGAAGACGTCGTCCCTGGACCGTCGCGACAGGTACCCCACGTTGTCCGGGGCGGAGATCAAGAGGGGAATGATCCCTGGGTCCGTGGACGCGCCCAGGGGTAAGAGGAACCCGATGCTGGACAGGAAGAATCGTTTCCCGACGATCTCGGGGGCGGAACTGAAGAGGAGCCTAGCCATCGGCAGGTGCCCGCTGGAGGACGGGCTGGACCTCAGCCTGGCCCCGTGGCCGGGCATGAAGTGGGCCTGCGTGAGGGTGTTGCATCTGTACTGTAAGGTGTTCGACCAGTTCGAGCTGTTCGAGCTGATAGTTAGGTAATTGAGCTGAGAATGCGCATGGCCATCCCCCGAGGACGTTGTTTTTGTGTTTCGTGTGCGAATCTGGCAGTGGTTTTCGAATTAGATGCATTGTAACGGAGCTTTTAGAGCTTTAAGAAGAAAAATATCGCTTGCAAGGTTAATTAGCTTTTCCTGTCTCGTCGAATGCTGGATTTTGGCGATCTAATGTTTCGAGAGAATACGGAGTATGGTGTAGACGTCCCTTTGATATGCTTACGGTGTCTCGCGTCGACTAATATTTGCTCCTTCCAGGCACGTGCCATCGCGGTTGATCGATCGTTCGGAAACCGAGTACTTATCGTCCCTTACACCGGTGCTCTAATCGTCCGAAGGCGAAGTACTCGCGCGATAAGATCGCGGCCAATTAAAATTCTAAAGGTCCATTAGCGCCGCGTGCACCGTGCAAATATAATTAACCGTCGTTGGCGCGGAACCGGAGTCCCCGATGGAAAAAACAGCGTCTCCCTGTTCCTTTTTCCGGGAGAAAAACGAGCGAAAATCTTCTCGAAGATCGCCTCTTGTCTCAATTTCCGGTTCTCGATATTTTCTTACTCGCGAAGCGCGAGATAAACTAGAGATTCCTCAGAGCGATCGATCTCAAACACCCAAGCATAGACAGTGGAATTTCTATACTTAATACTTTATTTATTATTATTAATTATTTATTCTTTCTATAATTATCATCTTTCTAGTTTAACTATCTTGGAAGATATTCAATTTTCCAGCCAGGAAGCAAAGAAAATCGCGAGGATGATTTTATGCGTCGCTTCGCTGGGGACAAAATTCAGTCATATAGCGAGGGACTACTGTACGCGTCGTTCGAGTCGACTCGACTCGGTTTGTTTCGTCCAAAAATTATAAACTGTAGCTTCGAGGACGTCTCTTCTTCTTTCGACGTCTCTTTTTCCGCTACACCGCGGAATTAATACGAGTCGACGGGCGTGGCCTCGATTTTTTCGCTTCTTTTCGGATTCCGGTCGAACGACGCCGCTTACAAGCGGTTTACGCGTGTACCACCCATCGTGGAATGTCGAGACAAATCGCTCGGTTTATATATCGTCCGGGGAATTAATTGCCCCGGTATAGTTTCGCCGACTGGACCAAAAGACGCAAATAGGCGCGCGAGACATCGTAAATTTTTACGTCGCCGTAACGCCCAGAGATTTTGAAATGGTCACTTTGTTGCGAAATAATGATCGCGTGTTCGTTAGTCTGTCGCTTTCGAAGCGATTTTCGGGTATTTCTGGGACCCTGGATGCTTTGGAATCTTCAGAGACACTTGAACAGAGATATCTTTACGTTGTTAATATTGTAGCTAATATTGTTTCAAAAATAGTACCGAGTTTCTAATAGATACATAGGAATATTAAATTATCGTGAGTTTCTTTGCGTGGAAATTTAAATAAATATAAATTTAAATTTTTAAATTATCAGTCGTCAACATCAGTTGATTTTCGAGCCTCGAATTCAAGAAAATAGTGATAGGAGTATGGTTCTACGCCTCTCTGCCGGGGAGAGATTCGGTCTTATAACGAGGGACTACTGTACGCGTCGATCGATCGCGCTAGAAGAGCGATCTGTTAATTTTCTTTGCACGGTGGACCATTTTGGACAACGAGGGTCCCCATATTGGAGGTTCTATTGTAAATTGAAACGATTCGTTCGATAACCTAGATCCACGCGTATCCAAGAAACAGCGTTCTTCGTCAAGATAATGCGAGGGACGCTGGGAGAACGGAATTTTGGGACACTCGAGGAACCCACACACCCTTCTTCGATGCTCTCGGTATCTCGCCCATTCTCTCAAACGAATTCTCCCCCTTCGGTGCTTATTTTTTACGAACTCCGTACGGATTCGACAGATAGACGAAAATGGCGGACGCAGGGAGCTCCCCAATTTCACGTTTCATAGTATTCTTCGACACCTCTGGCGATTAAAATTTATTTTACATCGAATTAATATTCTACTCTACAATTCAAATAGTCTTATTTTTTCTTTTTTTAGTCGTGTATTTCGATTGATGATTTCAGTCAAGGGTTAAGAAATAAAATACGCTTTTCAGACTCTGGTTTCCCAACGATACCATAAAATAAAAATTCTGACGCCCACAGATGCATGTAAAGATATTTTTTTTCTCAATTATTATGAAATACAGATTTCTTTGGGGGCTATTTCGATACTATTTGAAGATTGTAATTTAGGGGTGAGAATCGATGGTATCCCAGAGTAGTCCATAGAGCATCGATCGCTGCAGACCCATCATTTTGCTACGCAAAAGCTCACGAAGACCGCGTGCCACATGCTAATGGTCGTACGTCAATCGTATATAATCAAGGGGATGCATTTGCCAGCATTCATCGTCGTTCCACCGCACCCTTCCGGATGTCGAAGGTCGTCGGTGGTGCTAACACGACCTTCCCTTCCCTATATTTTCTGCATTCGTCGTCGATAATACAACGATAAGGGGTCGGTGGATAACTCGCGCGACGGAGACCCTTATCTCGCCCAAGGGGGGGGAGAAAACAGGGGCGGAGAAGAATAAAGCACCGCGGAGACAGAAGGAGTACCCTCGTAAATTCACCAATATTTTCTATCCGTCCGTATATTGAACAGAAACGAGGAACATTTTGCGACAGTTACATCCCCCTCCAATGGCGGGACCCCCAAAATAATTTACGTTTATGTTAAGAATAATGAAAACGATAAAACTATTTTATATTTATTATCGAAATTTGCATGATTAAATTACAAAAATTTTAATGCTGTAATTCCACCATTTTGTCTTCTATATTTTAGTGCATTTTATTTAACCGATTTTTTATTACAAACGAAATGAAACTGACTTTATAGAAGCGTACTAAATTATAAAAATTGTAATGTTAGGAACCCAACAATTTCATCACTTTGTCTCCAGATGGCAAACTAACTTTTGCAAAGTCACAATGTGGATATTATTATAAACGAAATGAAACTGACTTTATAGAAGCGTGAATTTGTACAGGTAGGAGTAAATTAAATTACAAAGATCGTAATGCTTGTAATTACAGCATTTTATTTTCTGTGTATTCGATCCTCCAAGTGGCAAACTAATTTTTGCAACGTTTCGACGTGGATTTCAAACACTTTGCCGCGTTCCAACAGCCTCGAAAGACCACGCGGAAACGATTCACGGGGATCGTCGCGGCACCTTTCAGGAATTATTCCTCCGGGGCGCAGCGAAACGGCCACCGTAATGTCACGTCCATAATGTCAGCGAAACGGTCGCCTTGTTTGCCGGCGGACCGTAACTCGCGGAAAGGGCTTTTCAACGACAAACAGTTCCCCCGTACCGTCTCCTCCTTTTTGCGTCCTTGTTAAGGGGCGATAACACGTTGAATCTCTCCCGTCGACGTACGTTCGCCGATATTTTACGAGCCACCGCGAGACCGTCGCGCCGAAGGGTGGATGCAAATTAACGTTGACGCCTCGTTAACTCCGCGACCGCGGAACGCAACCAGCCAGGATCGTAACTCATTCCAATTCGCCGTCCTGTCCTACCACGAGGGTCCTTTGCTCTCCTTCGTTAGCCAAACCCCCGTCCACCCTTTTTTCCCCACCAAAAGTCTCGGTTTAAATCATATTTTTTTCACTCGAACCATCTTATCTCCCACCATTTTATTTTATAATATAATCGTGTGTATTTAAAACCTTGATGGGGGGAAGATAATAACGAGAACATTGTTATTTTTCAACCCTTAACCGGTATCGTATTTCAACACCCCCCCACCTAAGTACTGAATTTTCTTTTTCTTTTGATGTCGCTGCTTCTGATTTTCAAATAATAAAGAAAAAATTTCTACTCACTGATTTAAAATTTGTGATCCTCTTTGAGTCGACCATTTTGAAACTTCGTCAAGTAAAAAGTGTTTGTAATTTTTTAACTGGTGAATGAAGCCTGTTTGATATTTTTTTTTCGCTTGGCGGGAGGATAAGTGGAAAACGTGAGTCGTTCGAGAAAGACGTCGATGTTTGCATTAATTAGACGATTAGCGGGAATCGTGTTGCGGAGTGAGCGCAATAAAACTCGATTAGAGGCTTTATCAGGGCCGAGGCGTATCTGGAGTTAATGAAACACCACGGACAAATATTTATCGTCCGTGATATCCTCGGTCTAATAGATACGTTCAACAAGCTGTTAACGTCCGCTCCACATACACACGAGGGCACTTTTCTAAGCAACGGCGAGACATTAATCTTCTCTCTGCTCGCTGGAAATCTCATTTAACTGTGATTCTTATCTGACCAGCAGAATCGATTTTTTCACCATCACTCTTCCTTACGGTTGGCCCCCTTAACAGTTACAGAATGGAATACGATTTTTGTTAATTTTAATCCACCCACCCGTAACCCTCTGTGTGTTTTAAATCGCGTCTTTGAACTCTAATCTTATCCAATTTTGTGTGGAAATTCGTCACGTTGTTAAATTAACTAAGGCTCTGGAAACTTTTCTATATCGTTTGCCAGTTTTGTGAAATCGATTTCGAAGTTTAAAATGGTCGATTTTTGTTTGTTTGTTTAGTTCAGATTCTGTTTTCTGTTTCAGGAAGAATTGCACGAGCTGCAAGTGTCCGCGGGAGGCGCACGACGTGTGCCACGAAGAATGGGTGTCGGTCAGGTCTCGATTGGGCCTCAAAGGCGATGAGTCCGCGTTGCCAGTCGGTTTCGATCCCAGGAAGAAGGGCCTGGCTTGGGCGCCACCCGGTCTTCCGGCCCACAAGGTCGGTAATATTTCATCCAACGCCCCCCGATTGTCCATTTAACGCGTCGATTATCAGGCACAGATAATATAAAAACTTCTATGTTGACTTACAAATCGGAAATCAATGTGTATTTTCATTTTGTCTTTTATCACAATTTTTTAACAGGATTTCCGTATATCCAATAAACGATTTGATGTCGATATCGAAACGATACCGGGCTCTAACGAGATATAATAGGCTCGTCGGAACGAGCTGTTCCGCGTTCGCGGTTAAGTAGTCGGTTTACAAACGGCGACGAGCGCGCGCGTGCTTGGCACGCTCCCAGTTTTCAATATTTTCCAAAGCCCTCAGACATAAATTATCGCCCCGAGGCTGGTCTTTATCACCGCGACAGCAGATGCTTTATCGTTCGACGCGTTTCCTCGATACGTTTAACTCCCGTACTCGAACGATAACTTTAACGTTAGATTAGGACTCGAGTAATAGAATCACTCGTTTATATCTATTCAACAACTTGACAGATCGGGCGATCGACTGAGGAAGATAGTAAAAAAATTTATATCTCTGTCGTATTTGTACGAGGCTATCGTCGATGGATAGGCGAGATTCTTCCGATTAAAATGAACCCAAACACGACCACTTTCTGACTACTTTTAGTCACACATAATTTACAGTATTTCAGAAATTAGTATAATAATCTGGAATTAAAAGTGTTCCGAATATAGCCGTGTTTGGACTCATTTCCATCGGGATAACATCGCCTATCTGTTAAGAATACTCTCTCAACGGTACTCTAAAAAATGCTATATTATTCGTATTATAGTCATGAGATCATTATCGACGATGTTTTCCCGATGAAAATGAACCCAAACACGACCACTTTCTGACTACTTTTGGTCACACATAATTTACAGTATTTCAGAAATTAGTATAATAATCTGGAATTAAAAGTGTTCCGAATATAGCCGTGTTTGGACTCATTTTCATCGGGATAACATCGCCTATCTGCTAAGAATATTTTCTCAGTGGTACTGTGAAAAATGTTGTTGATGAAAATGAGACCCAACGGGGTCGTGTTTGAAACCTCGCCCAATTTATCGACAGTCTCGATTCTGTTACTCGTGAGCGACGAGTCTTATCTCGCTGACTGCAACAAGATCGATTCACCTGTTGCAGGTGGAAGAGTACTTTTCCATGCTGCCAGAGATCTCCGTGCCGCGGCTCGGCACGCCCGGAGAAAGATACAGGGACCGACAATTAGCGATTCAGCTGCCTAAGCAGGACTTAGCCACAGCCTACTGTCGCCACTTGAATCCGAAACGCGCCAGCAGCGCTGACGACTTTATGGCCGCGAGGAACGAGATCGCGCTGGACATTGGGAACGTGCAAGAAGTGCTCGAGTGTGATATCGTGAGTTTCCAAATGAAATACCTCGATACAAGCACACAGACGTATCTGGACGTGTTGCTTTATCGAGGGAGGTCTGCTCGTAATCGAGATGGATCCACGTACAATCGTGGATGGAGTTGCGACTTTATTTCTTATTCAGTTTATCGTGTTTGTCGGCAGGATTGCGGCGCATGCCACGCGCCCCTGGAATACGGAAGTCTCGCAGTGTCAGCGAGCAAATTGGATCTTCTTTATCATCCGAGGTGCTTTCGGTGCTCCGAGTGCAAGGAGCTTTTGGTCGATCTCGCATACTGCGTGCACTATGACACTCTGTTCTGCGAGAGGCATTACGCCGAACAGCTGAAACCCAGGTGCGCGGCTTGCGACGAGGTTAGTACATTTTTAATTTCTGTTTTTCGAATTCTCAAAGTCCCCCTGCAGGATAATAAAAAAGACTGTTTAGACGTCAGCGACAATTATCAGCAAAGTCTTAGATCGAAATTTTTCGGCGAAAAAAAAAATTTCAAATCGTTCCAAAAAAATTATTTTCAGTTGCAGGGGTCAATTACAATCATTTTTTGTGAATAGACATAACCCCGAAATCCTACGCACTTTCGAGAAAAAAATTCGAGTAGGTGTTGAAATTTTTCCTCAAAATTAAGAAATTTCAAATCATTCTAAAAAAATTATTTTTGGTTGGAGGGGCCAATTACAATCACTTTTGGTGAATACACTTACCTTCGAAATCCTACTCACTTTCGAGAAAAAAATTCTTTACCGATAATATACTGGGTGGACAGAATTTCATGCGTATGTTTAAAACTCGTAACTCTTGAGTGGATTGTTTCAAAATGCAAATGGTAATGGGGCTCTGGAGTATACCTCGTCTGTGATCAGACGAGAATATCGTTCGTCGATGAGGCAGGGAACTGGAATAATCCTTTCGGGAGAAAACGAAATGTCAGTACCACGAACAGGCGTTAAAAAGAGTGATTAGTATCAAGCAATTGTTGCTCAGTAGTGGTGAAAGATTTAGTTTGATCATCTTTAATAAAATATCTAAAATGAAAGTAGGGACGGTACTCGACTGCCAGTGTTGGTCTGCATCAAAACGTCTGTATCTACTGAAACCATCCTTACCGACAGCAGATACTCTTCGACTTTCGATTATGCACTTATCGATTGCTCGCAACGTATGTATCTCGAGACGCGTTTCAAACTACAACGCGGGAAGCTGAGAAGCGCTCGACTCGACCGAACAACACTTTCCCCGTTTCGACGATTTAAACGAAAAGAAAAACAATAAATAGTTCGCGCTTATCTTTTCTCGTCCCCGTTTACGGTTAATGAAGGACCAGAATCCTGACGGAGGTGTCTCGACATCCTTTCGCCAGGCATTTTTATCGCTCGTACGACATTGCCTTCGCATTAAGAAAACCTGAAATCCCGTCGGCGACCCAAATGCACCGACCGGCTGTCAAGGTGCGCATAAATCGCGATTCGTGCCAAGCTCAAGCGTTTTATTAGCTCGTAAGTTAACGAGACTCGTCGGTCCGTGTTTTCATGTACGATCTATCCGACGATATTGATGAGATTCCAGTAAATTCACCGTCGAGCACCGTAAAAACGGGACGACGTTACGCGTTTCCATTTTATTATGTGTTTACGAAACGATTTTTTTAAAACAAGGTCACTTTACAACCTAAATTCTTCTCACAATTCGAAACATTCTTTATTTTATATTCGACAGGAATTTCTGTCAATTTCTTTCGATTGATCTTCGATCTCTAGACAGAGATAAAAGAACCAGTGAAATTCCTTTTTTGGCAGAGTTGTCATTTCGTACAAATTGTACATTATAATTTAAATCAGATTCTATGAAGAATATTAGTCAAAATTAGAATGTTACAATTAAGTCAAGATTCATAATCCACTGCAAGGCGAATATTTGACGACAGTTGTGAGCTTTTACATGAATTGTGTCTCCAATTTTTTGATTATACATAATTATCGATGCTCGTGATTTTCAAACTATATCAGTGAACTTGTAACGCGATATCTGGTTTCATACATTCGACAAATATATACCGGGAGATTCCAATGAAATTCGCGGCCATTTTGTTGACAGTTTTTCATCCCCCGAGCCGCGAACACGGTCTCTTGACGGAACGATCAATTACGCGGGACAGTTTGGACAGCGTTTGTCGGTTAATCGTAAACAATCCGAAAATATCTGGAGCATAATGATATTAAGTGTCGCGCAATGGCGGCGGTGTTGTTCCGTCGCGTCGCGCGGGAACTGGGCCGGTTTCGGCTTTATTTAGATGGACGGAAATAGGAATCGAGTATCATACACGCTTGTTCGTCACCGTACGGGCTGCGCAATGCGAATTATGTTGCAAAAACGTGAATAATCGACGACGATTTGACGAAACTCGCGACCGTTTTATCTCCGACTAACCGATGACTAATATCCAAATCCTGCACGCTGGTGTATTTTCGAACCCTTACGGGTCCAACGAAATCGAAAAAATTTCTCGCATACCACGATTCTGGGCCAAAGGAACCATTAATAATCTTTCATTTTTAAAATTGCAATTTAAAGAATTGTTATATCTTTCTTGGTGCTCCGATTCAAACTTTCCTTTTGTAAAACTATCCACGTGAATACTTGTTCTCGTGATTTTAGAAATATAACATAGAACATTTCCAAGTCGTATACTTTTGATATTGTCAGCGTTGCAATGCTCAGCGTGCAGTAGTGCCTCTCTTATTGCAATCTAGTTGGGTCCGCCCAGATGACACTTATTGTTAGAGGAGTTTGGTGTCACTGTTCTTGGAACTGGTCGAACACGTAAGGTTCAAGACTACTATGGAAGCTCTTATTTTACCGTTACAATTGCTACCCGGTTAACTGTAAAAATCTCTTATTCCTTTTTCTAAACCGTCGTCTCCATCGAATTTTCCGCGCGTTTCCGGATTCGGGATCGAGAGCTCGTTGTGGACGATTTATTTCCTTAAAACGTGAACTAGACAGCTCGAAGGTAGCCGGCGAAACGTCAGCTGTCGACGTTCGTTACTCCCTTCGTGCGTGTAACAGGCGTCTTGAATTGGTTTTCTTCCAACCGGAAACCCTGTCGTTTGATCGTGCCCGCGTCGGGTCGGTAATCTATTTTGATTTCTTGTCGAAGCTCCCACCACGATCTGCGGCCTGTCCAGACACCGAGAACCGTCCCCGTCTTTTATTAGAGTCAGTCAATTGGAGGCGAACCGAAAGCCGAGCGAACCGCGAGAATAATCGAGACGAAACCGCTCCTCGCCTTCTCGATCCGCCATAAACGAGGAACACGAGAGAGGGAGCGCTCGTCTCACGACTCGATTTCGCCCGTGGTTTCGATCGAACTCGAATTTACGACACGCGAGACCCTACGGAGACGGTCACGAAGGCGCTCGACGCGCGACAGTATCGCAGACGAGAAAGGTGGTCTCGAGTTTCCGGGTAAGTGAAGTGAGCCACACTCTCAACCACCACACGAGCCACCACACAGGATACAAAATCCCCCACCAACGACAACCATCGCTTCCTATTCGAGATACAATTTTACACTGCCAAGAGAAGCCGGTGCCAATGTGACTCTATCGATTCCAATTCATTTGATTAATTTTATTCTATCAGGAACAAGTTTAAAACTGTTCTAGTAGGCCAGTTAGATTCTATCGATCGTGTCACCTATGTACTCAATCACCAATTTGAATGTTCAAAACCAATGTGATTCTATCAATCGAAATCCAATCTATTCCTGCAACTTTATTCTACCAAGAGCTAGTTTAAAACTTTTCTAGTTGCCAGTTAGATTCTATCGATCGTGTCACCTATCTACTCAATCACCAATTTGAATGTTCAAAACCAATGTGATTCTATCAATCGAAATCCAATCTATTCCTGCAACTTTATTCTACCAAGAGCTAGTTTAAAACTTTTCTAGTTGCCAGAGAGATTCTATCGATCGTGTTACCTATCTACTCAATCACCAATTTGAATGTTCAACACCAATGTGATTCTATCAATCGAAATTCAATCTATTTGAGTAACTTTATTCTACCAAGAGCTAGTTTAAAACTTTTCTAGCTGCCAGAGAGATTCTATCGATCGTGTTACCTATCTACTCAATCACCAATTTGAATGTTCAACACCAATGTGATTCTATCAATCGAAATTCAATCTATTCGAGCAACTTTATTCTACCAAGAGCTAGTTTGAAACTTTTCTAGTTGCCAGAGAGATTCTATCTATGGAATCTTTTATCTGTTCAATCACCAATTCGAAAGCTTGATACCAAATGTGACTCTATCAATCGAAAGCTTCTAAACTATTCGACCAATTTTATTTTACTAAGAGTAGGTTTAAAACTATCCAAGTCAGAATCAGAATCAATTAATCGAGTCTCCTATCTATACAATCACCAATTCGAAAGCTTGACACCAATGTGACTCTATCAATCGAAGGCTTCTAAACTATTCGACCAATTTTATTGTACTAAGAACAAGTTTATAACTGTCCAAGTCAGAATCAGAATAAATCAATCGAGTCTCCTATCCACTCAATCACCAATTCGAAAGTTCGACACTAATCTGAATCTACCAATCCAAAGCTCCCAATCTATTCGACCAATATTCTACCCTACCAATGCTCTATAATTCCTCTAGTCACAATCACATTTTGTCTATCAAGTCTCCTATCTATACAATCACCAATTCGAAAGCTCGAAACTAATCTGAACCTACCAATCTAAAGCTCCCAATCTACTCTCCCAATTTTACTCTACCAATGCTCTATAACTCTTCTAGTCACAATCACATTTTGTCTATCAAGTCTCCTATCTATACAATCACCAATTCGAAAGCTTGACACTAATCTGAACCTACCAATCTAAAGCTCCCAATCTACTCTACCAATGCTTTATAACTCCTCTAAACACAATCAGATTTGATCTATCAAGTTTCCTATCCACTCAATCACCAATTTGAAAGCTGGACACTAATCTGAACCTACCAATCGAAAGCTCCCAATCTACTCTCCCAATCTACTCTCCTAATTTTACTCTACCAATTTAAGCCCCTAACACTCCCACTCGTAAATCAGAATCTACCAATCGAGTCTCCCATCAATCCAATCACCGATCCAACTATTCACCACGAATGTCCACCAATCTATCGAAAGCTCCCCCCAAGTGGACCCAACGACCAATCTATTAGCCTCCCCCGTGTCTTTCGTCCAGATTCGATCGAATCTCGCGCCTCGTCCAGCAATAAAATAGAAAAATGACCGACGGAAGCACGCGTTTCTACCTTGGTGGCGTTTGCGACGGATCGTAAAGAATCGTTTCGGG